TAGGCACATGTTGACATGCAACAGCGCACTAAGAACCTGTCGACAGCTGATGTGGGAGGGCAAAGGGGAGTTTGGTCTCTTATTCCCTTTATACAGCAACACAAATATCACATTCAAACACTCCTTAAACAGCTGGAAAGATTATGGCGTGATAATGAGCCCAGCGGCCCCACACACCAGCATTGTATAGGTACGTGCATGCATGACTTTACAGGAAACTGCCCCGCCACACACACACACACACACACACACACACACACACACACACACACTCACACAAACACACTTAAACACATCGGAGTTCAGGGGTTCAGTGGGCCACCAGTGCGCAGAGCTGTTGGCTCCGGCTCGACGCTGCTGCCCGGCCATCTCCTGTGTTGACATGCAGGATACCAGTGTCTCTTCCAGAGGAAACTCTGGCTTCTTTCACATCTGCTTGGGAAGTGAGCCCTGCTGTATTTGGCTCCTTAGACAGGGCTTCTGTTACATGCTGCTCCCAACGTAAAATACTCACTCAACCGTATCATATGAACGGGAAGTTTAATATCAGCGTTGTAACCTTTTGATTACATTCAATTAAATTGCTATTATTACATCAGTGGGTCAAAATGTTGGTTGTTCCTCTTCTGCTTTGCAGTTCTCCATTAGTAGGAGATATAAACTTCATTCATAAAAGCATCAATAGCATTTATTTAATACTAATACATGTATTAGGGTCAGAGATTGAATAAAGGTTTGGTGAAAGTAATTGTAATAGCGCTGCCATGTCGCCCATACGTCTCACCTCGTTGACCTGCTGCTTGTCCAGGTGAAAGATCTGTCCCGAGGAAGTGGCAGCGATCTCTTCATAGGCCCTGTAGCCAGGCTGAGAGCGGTCTCCACAGTCCCCAGTCAACACAAACACCACCTGGGAACAGAGGGGCAGGAAGAGTTAAGAGGATTACTACTGTTCAGTGTTGGTCTTTTTACGATCGTGCTTTTGGGTTGACTCCAAAGTGACGCTAATGCTCATTGTCCTGCTTCACGTGGAGGCTGAAGTAACTTTGAAGCGACTCTTCCCTCCTCAGCCTGGTATTGGGGAGCTTCATTGGAATGTAGATCCATCCCAGCATGCCGCTGTATTTTCTTTTGTTACAGCGTGGGATGAATGCAAAAGTACTCAAAACGCTGTGGACCGGGTGTTGTTTGAAAAACTTTCAGATTGAACCATTTTCCTGCTAACAGCAGCTTTTGTTGATACAGTAGTGACTGTACTGCCAAAAAGACAAACTCCTCTACAGCCCCGATCTGAGTGGTGCGTTTTTCTACAACTTCACCTGGGATTGCCGGAGCTGCACGAGTTGCAGGACATCTCTCTTTAGGCGGTAGTCTTTGGCTCTGGCGTCAGTAAACACGTAGATGAAGGATCCAGGCAGGGAAACCTCCAAGGCTTTCTTTATGGCTCCTATGCTCATCTCGGGGCAGTCACCTCCACCCTGTGTGATGGCATTACACACGATCAACGTCTCCAACTCTGAACATCTTCATTGTTAAATGCATCTGTACAGATACTCAAACAATCCTGTCAAATTTCAGCTTTGGGAATAGTGTCCGATTTTGGTGAAGACTAACAAATTGTTAGTAATCTTAAGCAACTTCTGTAAGAGGAAATATGACAATGTGCCTTAACAAATAAAATCTTGGAATTCTGGCTAATGTTCCAAACTTAGGATACACATTGCTGTGTAACTGATAAGCCTGGGCCAGTTTTCTGACTTTATACATTCCCTTTATGCCATTATTACATATTTTTCACTTGTGGCCACGGCTGCTGTTTGGCAGAAGTTACATAGTTGGCTTTAAACAACATCAGTTCACACAGACGTAGCTTGGATTAGTAGGGAACAATGCAATGATCCCAGGTCCAATATGACAATCACGTCCTGTCTTCTGGTTCCCACCTGGACAAACAGCTCTTGCAGATCCTGTTGGAACTTCTTTGGGTCGGTGGTGATGGACACGGGGCCAATATCTGCGAGTTTAGGAATGTATATCATAAAAGAGACTTAAAGAACATTGAATCTGGTGAGCTTGAGAGATATGTTCTGGTTGTAATACAATATACAAGAAAATATTCATCCCAACAGAGTGCAGAGGGGTAACTCTTCAAAAAAAAAAATCTTCAAATAAATCAACTATGAGAACAAAGGACGTAGTTGTTCTGGCTCTGTGAACAGAGCCAACACATCAACGGCATCAAAAAGCCCAAACAAGCCACATTCTACTTGATCAGGACCAGAGTGACCAGAATGTAGCGTTTGTGCGTGACATGAACATCAATCGAAACACGAATATCAATCACACATAGCACAAGAGTGGCTGCATCGGTGCCCCGAAAAAAATCACAATGTTCAGCTTTTGTTTCACACAAAATCGCTACAATCTGGCTAGAGTTCAGATAACGCTTTTCTGCAGCTGTTGTCAGCATGTTCCAGTGTTTTTCAAGCAGAAGCAGACTCCAGTATGATGGATAAGAACCTGCCAGGGCCCGACACTTGGATGCCTTCTGGGGCCAATAATCATCAACCAACAAACAGAGGACGCATTGATTTAGTTATAGAAGACTGTTGTCTATAAACACACGCCTTCCATTTGAGTTATTACAGACCCCTTATCAGGTAGGGTGGAGCGTCCTGATTTCTGTGCGTCTCTCCACTTGTTATTGCAACTGTCAAATACCATTGCGAAGTATCTTTCTGCGGCTAATGACACTGAGCTTCCAGACAAAGGTCATCCATCTATTTTCCAGCTCGGGGGCTTTTATGTCCGTCTCTGCTCTTCATGAGTGTAAAACACTGACAGCACTGTCATGCATCTTTGTCATCTTGGAGGTTTACAAGCTCCCCCAGGGGCAGGCCGCATTAAACACAGACAACATGTTTTGGTGTAAGTACAGCCCCCCTCCTCCAGCACCCCAACACCCCCAGACGACTGGCTAAACTGGGGGGCAACGAGGGTTTTCCGGAGGCTTGGATGGAATTGAGGGAGGGGTGGGGTGAGAGGGGTAATTACACACGAGTAGACAGCATATGCTTCTCATCAGCGCTCAAACACCCTCCCCCATTAGAGCACTTTTATTTTCAAGCTGCAGCTTTCTCGTATGAGGGTCGATGCCAGGGGTGAATGAAGAGACTTACCTGTCCCACACACTCCTCGTTCTGGAAGCTCATATATGTGTGTGTATATATTTATTCCTGCTTGGTGTATCTGAGTTCAATGTGTTGCTCTGTGTCAAAGTGGACTTCTTCTGAAACAGCTCAAAGCAACAACTCGGGTAACAGGTCCTGAGATGTGTTGCTGTTTGCTTTGGTCTTTTCAAGTCAAACTATATAAATGATAGTTACACAAAATCCATGAAAATGTACCCAAAATTCGGAGTTTGTCATAATGCAAACAGAAGGCTAAAGGCTACTGTGTTGACTGGACCTGGCAAGACAAAGTAGGTTGACCAACTTTTAATTACATGCATCCTATTACAATCATATTCAGGTTCGAGATTTAACAGCCAGCTTTGGTGTGACTGGTTAAGTGTGTTTGGTCAAAAAGGTACCTGGGTCATGGAAGGGGACCAGGACAAAGTTTTTGATGGGTCTGGTCCTCCGGTTGAGGGTCTTCTCCAGGATCCGCGAGGCGCCGTCTATCACCTGTTTCAGATCGTCGTACATTGAGCCGGTAACATCGAACACAAAGGCCAGGGTGGAGGCACTGTCACCGGATCCATCCTCCTCCTCAGCCCGGGGGATTGCCAAGAGCCTGTGCGCGCCGATACACAGCGCCAAGACTAGGCACTTTAATAAGACACCGGTCATTTTCTCTTATAGATTTACTGCATCTGTCTGCTGGAATATGGCGAATCGCATTCAAAAAAAAAAAATAAAGAATAAAAAAGTTTAGCAAAGTTTAGTAAAAGTTTAGACTTTAACGTTGTTCAAACTTTGGGACTGATTCCAATTGTTAGAAAAGATATGTGGACCAGCACGGCTCAGCTTGAACACATGGAAATCCGGAGTAAAATACTTCCACGGGAGGAACTCCGTGCGTAAAGTTTGGAGCAGCGTGTGGAATGGCTCCGTGTTGGAGAGCCCCTGGAGAGCGGGCGCTGTGACGCTTCAATCGGGGGGCGGAGATGGGTATTAAAAGGTTCCCGAGACTCAACGTGATTTTTTTTTCTTCTTCTGTGAGACCGCGTGCTTGTGGGACTCTCCCTCGACCCCACTGTGACTTTAACCCATCCAGCCTGCACCCTACATTTCTCCGTAATCGACGCAGGCCCTTAGAGACGCAGTTTTTAACAGCTTTGTGCACATTTACCAGCGCAGTCCGGAGAGAACATTGTCTCAGCAACAGCCCCGTTCTTATAAATAGCCATCGTTTATATTCAGCTGACACCAATCTAATTTTATACATAGCCCACTCTGAGAAATAGGAAATGGAATAGCTTGACCTGCTGATTTAGATAGGACTGAGTTATTGATTATACATTAACATTCACTCGAGGTCTATGAGATCAGACTTCACACAGGAATAATCTCATTAATTCAGTGTTAAAAGTTTGGTAAAGTGAGCCAGAATCTTTGAGACGTTAAGTACTACATTTAAAACTTCTACCGAATACAAAGTGATGCAAAAGACATGGCAGTCTGGGATCAAAGCCCTGGGCCGTCCTGACCTCCTCCTCTTGATATCATTTAAATGTGTCCTTGGGAAGAAAACAGAGAGCAGGTCTGAGCAGGCCCGGCGAGCAGACAGACCCAGCGGCTTCTACACAAAGGCCACGGCGTGTAGTTAATCCAGCAATCAAAGACAAGAAATCATGTTTTATGCTCTTCTTTGTACAAAGAGAGGGCTTAACATTCTGTTTTGCAAAGTATGCCACGCCCGTTCAACACAAACCCTATTACTAATAATTAAACCAAATAATTCATTTGAACCAGTTTCAAATACAAAGACCAAGAATGCAGTAATGGAAAAAGTGTGCCACTTAAATGCATTTTATTCTGTGCTCTTATACTGTTAATCAACAGGTTAATGACATTAATCATTCAGTAAATTATCATTTGCATAAGGCGAAAAACTAGTGAAGCTGATAAAACATCTTAATGCTGAAACAAAAAATAAAGACAGAAAAAAGGGCATTATTACATGCTCAGGACAAATAAAAACCACAGAGCTCGCGAAGAAGCTTTACAACCAGAATGTTTGTCTGTTTGTGCCCGTCAGCGACCAGTTGTCTGGTGTGTGCTGACCGAGGGTGGAGTTCGATGCTCTCAAAAGAATTAATGGCCGTCGGTTTGGATGCGAGCTGTGGGTTCTCGCTGCGCTGCTCGGTCATGTCGTTGGGGATGCGCCTGTGCAAGGCGGCAGACACCAGACGCTGGTGCTAACGAGGAAGGGAAAACACAATGGCATGCAGAGACCGCAAACATAGTAAAATGACCCACAGAAAACCTCCGCGCTCCTTCAACACTCTTCTTCAAATAAAGACCTGTTCTCTCAGGCAAAGGAAACCTCCAGTGTGCGAGAACATTCCAACAATAAGGAAAAATACAGTGCAATAATACATTTCAACACCTTTTTGATTAAAAAATTAAACTCCATTCTTATGAGGAAATTCCCATAAACGCAGCAAAGCAGAAAATAAATTAGCATTCTATTTACATTATACAATGTACATACTGCTTTGTAACTTTAAGTCAGCGTTCACATTTTCACCAATTCTCACATTTTTAGAGTCTCTCTATCTGGGGGGGGGGGGGTCGAGGCAGCAGCCCAGTTCCTCTGAGCGGTTCATGTGCACCCCGCCCCACCCTCTGGTTTACAGTATGTGAACAAGACGCAAACACTTAACATCTCAGGGGGGATTCAGCTCCTTACACTGCGCTTTCGCCTGAACCCTCGCACACAGTCCACAACACACGAGGTGTAGGCGACGCACAGTGAAGCGCGGATAAATGACATGCTAACATGTTTGACTTCTCCGTCACGTCGGACGACACATTTGTTCATAATCCGCACTGAAAACGTAGATCAACAGCTACTTGACTCGAATGCCCAAAGGGCCGTGCAACGAAAAGTTTGCGGTCCAAAATCCGGGTGAAGCGCATTGAGCGTGGCTTCCTCCCCTGGCAGGTGCGATGGCGTTGGATTGGCGCGTGAGATGAATCCATCTGGTAAGAACGATGCATGAACAGATGATAGTAAGTGGTGCCACGGCTGTAGGTGTGTTCATGCAAGATACGTCCACCAAAACAGAGCTACGGCATCGCTGAAGTATGTCTTCATGAGCTCACTTCACAGTTGACAAAACGCTGCGCAGGATGTCAGCAACAATTGGCAGCGGCCGGTGCATTACGTTGAGCGGTGGGAGCAGAGAAGCCTGCGTCGCTCTTCACTCAAGGACCGTTTGATTGCCAGCAAACAAGTGGGCCATTTGAATAATTCATAGAAACAAACTGTGAGAAGAAAAACGGTTTCTTGACTTTGGTTTTAGCCCACGGACTGAATTTAGTTTCTTGTTATTCTTGCCTTTGATGAAACAAAATGAAAGAAGCGTAGAGTATTATGTGGAATTGAAGGATTAAAAAGCAGAGAAGCATACATGTTGTAGCTCATTAATCCCAACTCACCTTACATTGCTACACAAGTCCATCATAGAGAGACAATGCCTGAACAATAGAAGGGTCTGCCTTTGAACCCTCCTGAAACTCCTGCAGAGTCAGCTTCCCATCTGCGTTCTGGAAGAGGAACACGAGACAAGATGAAACAGAAGCCCCTTAATGCCTTAGCACAGAGTCAGCAGCAGGGGGCCAAACAGGCTTTGAAGCTAAACAATGTTCCTTCCTTCTCCACACTGATCTTTGGTTCAGCACACGAGCACGGGAGCCAATCTCTGCCGACACAAATCACTAAGTGCTGCGCGGACTAGAGCGATGGGCTGGCCTTGGCTGACCAGACACACCCATTCAGGCTGCATCTCATCTTTCACTAAAGCTGAGGGAATGGACATTAGCGCCGAGGGCTCGTGGTGGAGGAGACTATATATGATGTTTATAGACCGCAGGCCGTGTTAGTGACGCTCCGTTGGTCATAGCGAGCCGCTCTAAACTTAACAGTGTCCATTTCAAAGCACTCTGGGTGGCAACAAAGGCAGATCCTCTTACAGATAAACTTTACCTCCGCTTTGTTTCAGTGTCAGTCAAAGTTTGATGTTGTACTAAAGCAACAGCAAATGGAACAGAAACTAGCGCATTGCCACAATAGCCTTTTGGTGTATTTGAATATATAAACGCTAATGTTAGGGTGACCTCTAACTCACCTGGTAGAGAGTGAGCCGAGTCCTTGACCCAGTTCAAATTCTGACACCACACTGCGTGTCACGTCATGTCATTCTCCAGCTGCTCTTGCGAAAGCCTTAAAAACCATCATTAAAAGAAGGCCCAAATACTAACCTTGTCCATCATTGCAAATATACGGTCCACTCGCTTCTCTGGTGTGTTTTCTTCTTCCGGCAGCTCCACACTGTTTCCCTACGGCATTAAGTAATTACACTTTGTACACTTCAAACACTTCAGATTCAGATACAGTGCGTCCGATGTCTGGTAAGAACTTACCACCATCTGATATATGGCATCAACAATGTTCAGCATCTCATCTCGGGTGATGTAGCCATCATTATCAAGGTCATATAGTTTAAAAGCCCCTGAACAGAGAAAGATGTTAAAATATGTTCTGGTAGTTGGTACATTTTTCACCGATTCAACGTTTAACTAAACTCATGGTCATGGCTGGAGTTTGCAACATATTGACCCTGCAGGCCGCCTACTGTATCTTAATCTCTAAATGTGCAGTTCTCTGAGATTCCATCAGCGCTATTTCATCTACAACACATGGCAGTCAGTCCTCAATCCTGTCATTTAAATTTCAAAAACAGAGTGCACTTTCTTACATCTCAGCTTTTCATCAAGGGTCCCTCGGGAAGTCACTGACAAGGCCTGGATGAACTCAGAGAACTCGATGCGTCCATCCTACAGTAAGAAAAAGGGAGGGAGAGAGAGACACGATGAGGATGCTGCTTCACACTTGCTGTAGTCGTTTCTTCGTGATTCCCTTGCTGTTCTTTCATGATGTCCTTGCTGTATTCTTGTGAAAAACTGGGCCAGACGTTTGCTCCCCGTCAGCTGCTATTTCAGCCCTCCACCTGGCTCTCTCTCCGGAGGCAGACGCATGTCGACTCTGGTCGTTAGTAAGACGGATGCCCCTGAATGCGTCCAAAAGTTACAGCGCACTAACGACCACTGTGTATTTGTAAGGCCACACTCTGTGCTGCTATGGATTAAACAAAAAGCTCAACTTGGCTCAACTGCTGCCAATTCTGCCCGCCGCCATCTGCATGAGACTTCCTCAAATGAAATGTTTAGAAGGCTCTGCAGGAGGTGAACACAGTGGTAACAACAGTTTGTGTCAACAAGCAACGTCTCTAAATGGACGTCCTGCTAGCGGAGCAGTCGGGCTTTGGTTAATTCATTTAGTCTTCAGATACCAAAGGATCAAAAAAAAAAAACATTCTGCTGCAGCACCTTCCTACCTGTAACCAAACAGATCTCTGCAAGAGATCTGAACAGTCAGGCCGAAGCTGAAGACATGCATTCCTGATTCTATTTCATGAACACCGTTAAGATTGATGCATTCTGCTTGACGCTAATGAAGGTCCCAGATAAGCATCAGATGGAGGGGCTGTCGGAGCTTCCTGACACAAAGCCTCTTAACGGAGTCAATAAACCTCGAGGGGCTCACCAGCATCCGAGGAGCTGTTCACCCACAGTTTGTCTTTCTAAACACAATTTAAATAATCTCGAACAGCTACAACAGGGTGGATTAATCCATACAAATGTTGCCTTGAACAGGTTTACAGGCCTCATTCAAACCTGCGCTCTCGTCCCAACTTCAAATCCGTAGAAGATGTGCCCACATGCCACGTGCAAATATACCTTTTCGAAACAAAGAGGCAAACCCTCATGAAGACTGATTTCTGGCACAAAACTACGAATCACAATTCTGTGTTACTATTGATGTAATGACTCATCTCTTTTAACCAGACTGAACCATTAGAGCTGTTGAAATACTGACTGACAATTTGTGAGCAGAGGATTATTTCAAAAGGTCTATGAAGTGTTTTGATGTAAAGATCCTTCACACTTGTGATATTGTGTAGGTTTTTGGCTAATAACCTTACAATTGATACAAAATATGAAAACGATTTAGCTTCACATTGACGGACAGATTTACAAAGAACAGACTGACAGCGTCATAATTTAAGGATCTTTGTGAATTGTCTTCATTTGCATAGAAAGAGACTCTGTTTGCTTGGTGTGTGTTTCACCTTTGTGGCTTCTTTGAGAATTACACAACTTCTTTCTATCTAACAAGTTCAGGTTTAGCAGCCGCAGAAGCCGCAAACCAACACCAAGAAATCAAAATGCAATTTAGATGTCGTTTATAGCTTTCATTCAAAGAGAGATGAAAGAATAAATAATCGTTTATTGATTACCTGAGAGAATGCCATTTTTTCCCTCAATAAAAGCAAAAAGGGCTACGGAATAATAAAAGCAAGGAATAATAGGGCCCCACACAGTGTTGCTCTTTTATTCTGTGCAAGGAGGAGCTAGAGATTAGCGCCGCATGCAGTGATATGAACTAATTTAACATCGAATTTCTTATCTAGAAGAACAACTGTCGAAAAACCAAGTACAAAAGTCAGTTGACTATTTTCATGAATATTATTATCTTTACATTCTCTCTCGCCTTGTTGTGGGACAATAAAACTGATGGAAAAAAAAAATGATTACAAACCTTATTTTCATCAAAGACATTGAAGACAAAGGAGGCGAACTTTGTAGGATCTCCAAATGGAAAAAACTGCTTGTAAATCTTCTGGAAGCCCACAGCATCCAGCTGCCCACTGGGGCAATCTTTGATGAAGCCTTTGTACCTAAACAAATGAAGAACAGATGGAGTGTTTAAACAGCTAAAAAAAAAAAAAGAGGAAAAAAATTGATAATGTGATGAGAAAGCATACTGAAGACTGGATAACAGTAATGACAGACGTTGAATGACAGACAGCGTTACTGATTAGAAAGAGTGTGCGAGATAAAAAAAAGGTAAAGGGCAAAGCTATTTGCCTCATTCCCAGATAAGACGATGGCCCTAATCCAATAGCAAGCCGAGAGGGGTTACCTCTAATCAAATTACCCTCTGCTCCACGTTTGATAATATGCTCGACTGATGGATAAGTCTGAGAGCCCCCTTCTTGCCCCGAGAAATGACACATCTAGAGAGCGACCTTATATCTCTATTAGCCTATATTTAGAAGCATCTCATAAGCAATTTCAAGCGCAGTCACTCAGAGGAAGGAGAGGCTCCCTTGTACGTCTTCATGAAAGGAGCACAAGAGCCACGGAATCTAACTTGACAATAACAGGTCAGGGAGCAAGGAAGTGAGGCTTTATAAAAATAAATGATCCGTGAGAAGAAGGAGGAAATAGCAGAGGAATAATAACACTGGTAAGAAAAAAAATCAACTTGATCAACGGCAAAAAATGACGCGTGTTCACACAAAGGAGCACTGCATGTTCGTCATCTTAAGTCAGAATAAGACTGGGCTGTAATTATGTCCAGGGAGAGGAAGCAAGACAGCTCTGAGGAGGAATGAAGGCTAGAATTGATCTTTTCCACTCACTTCGGCTCCTCACTCCTCTTAAACTCTTTACTTTTAATGTGCCTTAGCGATAATGAAGCCAGATCCAGAGAGTGAAAGACATGGGGAGACTCTTTGGGGAGAAGCAGAGAAAAGGTTCAGCAAGAAGAAAGAAAAACCATGTGACTGTCACATCTTACTTATCTGAAAATTTGCAGCCAAAACAAAAAGAGTCGGCCACTATAATTCATATTACAATCCAATGAATCTTATCTTAATCCAATGCAGACACATCTCACCTCAATTCTTCAGTCATTTCAGTGAGTGAGTGTGGGACATTGTATCCAGTAACCACAACAAGAGGCTATTCTAACATGCCGCATAGCTATCTGGAGTGGGAATAGTTTACTGCTAAACCAGAATAGTGTAACTAAATATAGTATTCAAGACATATATTTGGTTCCACAGGGGCAGTCAGAGTGAACAAAACGCTGTATTTGATGGAAATTATGAAAGACTGCTTATAATTTTCCCATCACGCGTCTATAACTGACTCACAACTGTATTTTTTAAAGACATTATTAAGGACATTCTTACTTCTCAAAACCTGGTCCATACATTACCCACAATGCATCAAGTCCATCGACAGTTCAGTCAGAGATTTAGGTGTGGTATTTTTGATATCCAACTCTAAATATCAGTATAAGTAGAGTTTTATTCAAATTCAATGTGCTGTACAGGCTTTGACTCACATACTTATTTTCCTTCATAATAATGTTGTTTGTTGGGCATACAGTAATAAACATCAAGTTGAGGGCCACGTTTACTCCAGCAGAAGAAGACACATCTACATTAGAAAGCTGCCCAATGTCAGCTATGTGTCAGAGTCATAATCAGAATCACCTTCACTTGCCAAGGACGCATCGTGTTCAACCAATCTGACTCGGTGACACTGGTGCTAAGACACAAACACACATTGAACTAGTGCAACGGATCAACTACACGCTGTGCCTGCAGGAACATGGCAGAAGTGATATCGTGCATCAGGACCCCCTGGGGGGGGGGGGCAGCATGAAGATTACTTTTGTATTACTGGTACTGGCACCTACTCATTGGCATCTGCCATGACAGTTGCGCTAAATGTATCTCTTGCTGCTGCCTTGCTGGCAGGGACACCACTGAGCTACGGCATTTTGTCATTGATTTCAGGTGAGCCTCGAGCCACACTAATGATCTTCCCCATGTTCCCATGGAGGAGGAATTGGGATGGGGGACAAATTTAATGCACAACACAGGCATTTATCTAACCCCGCTAATTCTTCTGTGTGTGTGCTCTAATTACGCGCCATCTGGCTCTACCCCTGTTCGAATTCCCTTTCATCCGCCACACTCGGCCCGTGTTGATTGCCGCTGATCCTCAAGTGAGGAGGACTCATGCAAACTTTTCTGTGAAAGACAGCGAGAGCGATGGTGAGCTGGCTGCACAGCCGGAGGGGTGGAGGTTTATGGGGGAGTGGGTGGAGAGGGGGGGTATTCCGCCCCACTGCACTCAGTCAGCCCCGCAGACAGGCCACCTAGGAGGCTCTTGGCCTGCTGATGCTCAGTAATATCTAACTCTGCTGCTGCTGTTGCTGAATCGCTGTGAATCAGGCTCCTTCCCCGCCGTACAGCCCCTTAGAAGGGACAAAGACAGCGACTAGCCTGCGGAGACACTGGCTCTTTTCATGCATGCAGAATTAGGCGATGAAATGCAAAACCAGAGTAGGGGAACTGCGGTGCGCTCATGGAAGAGCAATCGCTTTATTTCAGCGCTCCCTCCTCTGATATGCGCCACTCTTTGCTCTTAATTTCAAAAGAAACAGTAGTCCGTGAGCAGCGCGCAGCAACCAGAGGCGACGGCTGCACTCGTGCTTGAATCGTCTCTGCAAACACAGATGCATCGTCTCTTTTCGGTGTGCCAGCGACTGTAAAGCTCTGCCATCAAGGAAACGTTCCAAAATTCAAGCGTAAGCAGCCAACGATCTCGCTGACCTCAGTTCTGCGTCTGAGGCGTCTCTGGTTCATGAATACATTTCATTTATATTTATATATATATATGTGAGTATGTGTTTGAGCGCCTGGTGCAGGTCGCACATAATTACAAGTACAGAATCCAACGGGAAGGACTAGTGGGCGACCTCATGGAGGCGCAAATAGTGATTAAGAGGCTGAAAGTGAAACGGCCTCATGCATCTGGCCGTTCTTTTGTCATAACACTCCCTGTTGCATTTAGATGACGCGGGGACGATGAATGCATCACAGATATGTTTGCATCGGTGTTATCAGCCTTCAGAGTTCAGTCTCATTCAGTCGCAGTAATGCTTCCAAATAACTCTATTTACAGACTGCATCTGCCGTCAGGGTAGAGAGAGGGAGACGGCTTCAGATCAACTGTCAAACCAAATGTTAAACACAATATCCGTGGACTCGACGGAGCGGGCGGGGAGGAGATAAGTCAACATGGGTTCAGAACAAGACCCCCCACCTCTAAATGACACAACGGATGACGCGCAACTGGCTTCACATCAACGACGGAAAACACATCTCGTTAAAAATGAATGTGCACACTTACCACTGCTGCACCTCTTTCTCTGTAACTGCAAGAGAAGCAAAGGGAGACATTAGCTGAAAAGGAACACTTTGGCTTGACATCAGACAGTGGCAACATGTAATGTTTGGAAAATTGCCTTGATTTGATTAAATCGATTCTAGCATACTGTCAGATGAGATCCATAATATTATCTGCTAGCCAGGGTGGCAGAGGACAAGTAGGAGCAAACTCCCGGGGAGCCGCAAAAGGATAAAACCAGAATAAGGGGATGAAGGTCGGCCACAGATTTGTGGAACCGATTAGGAGGCGGGATGTGTTTTTATTCCCACACAAACATCTCTGTCTGCCCGTATCGAATCGAACAATCCTTCATGTCTTTCACCTGACTCTTTATTTTCTCTCAAGTAACCACAGCAGTTTTTCAGCCTCTCTGCCCCTTAATGAAAACAACGGCTGCAAATCAATAGCATTAGCTTAACCAGGTTGAGAGAGACTCTCTGAATCAATGCCACCGAAAGTCTAAGGAAAGATGCAGTACTGTAAGCCTGGGACAAAGCAGTGGCCTTATTTAGACAACAAACAGCTCCATAGTTAATCAATAACCTCTTCTAATGTAATGTTTAACCTTGAGCAGCTCATAGTCATGGTTACTGCACAAGTATAGAGGGAGGAAACAAAAAGGGGCCAGCCAATCAGCGAAGGGAAAATTTATAGTAACGAAAAATACATCCAACAATTGCAATCTACATGTGTATTCCATAATGTCACCACGGCAGCAGAATCACACAGAGGCGATGGTTGAGAAGGCCGGGTCAGGTCACGCTTGCCTGCATACGTCTCGGCCTCTTTTTGTTCTGCTCATCATGTCACCGACAAACCCACCATGTGGCCTTTTTACCGGGCGGCGAATGTCGGGGGTCAAGCCACCAATAAATTTCCCTTTAAAAGTCAACAGAGTCCAAAGTTGAGGCCGATTTTCCATGGCTACGGTTTAATAAAATATTTGATTATATAAGTCGGTTGGAAGCAATGGGCAATAATGCATTCAGAGTTGGCCGGTTGACCCTGCGGCGTCTGCGAGAACACATCCGGCATGCGCTCCACAGCACAGCCCCCTGCGAGCCTCTCCGTGGCCTCGACAACTTACCAAATCATCGCGGAATTACACGGACTTAGCCTACATCCTGCCCACGGTTCAAAAGTAAATACCGGCGTTTCCGTGCGATGCCAAAGCAGAAAGCTTTTCTGGTTTGAATTAAACATAAGTGAGGCTGTGCAAGTGTGAAGCTACAACCATCTTCATAGTTTCCTCAAAGAACAAGCCGGCCTGAGCCTTGGTATCTAGACAATCGTTCTTCTGAGCATGATGGCTTTTTAAACCTACAACAAAGTGGAAGGCAGACATCTTTTGAACGGAGCAGGTCTTATTTGGTGCCTGACCTTCTTAAGGACCTGTCAACACAGACGGCATAATTCTCTGGGAAGGAAACAACCTTAACTCTTCTACCTCCTGAAAGAAAGAAAAAAGGACACGTAGGCACAGAGAAAATTGACGTAGTCCCCAATCTGTCAGGAAGAGTAGATGAGCGTAGACGGAAAAAAAAGCGCCTTGTGGGAGGGAAAAGCAAAAGTGAGGCATCAGAATGAAGGAAAGCAGAAATGATAGTCTCACGTCAGGCAACAACAGAGAAAGGGAAATGATCATGCTGGGAGAGAAGCTGAGTGCCCCTCTCAGAGATGCTAACCAGATAAGATACTAATTACACTATTCCCTTCCCAGCTCAAAGAGGGCAATTAGGGGATAAAGCAAAGAAGACAGGGCGAAAAAGAGTGGAAGAGAGGGAGAGAGAGAGAGAGAGAGAGGGGGAGTAGAGGACAGTAGCACACAGCCCAGCCCAGCACGAAGCCCAATCTTCCTCCACAGCAATTTCCTGCCACGACAGCCGAGCATAGTTCTGCTGTGGAAAGACCCAGCACACGCAAATAACACTGTCATTAGACAGCCCATGGACGTCAACTCCCACCCACACCTGCACACTGCACGGCCCAAATAATAACAATAATAACCCTGTACAGCAGAAATAACTTGATTAATACAGTGTCTTTACGGCGGACGTCATGGTGGCATTTAAAAATGTGATCTCTGCTCAAATTTGGCGGTGAGGGTGTTCAAAATGTTTTTTTGTTTTTTTAACAAGACGAGTAAATTAGTGCTAGCAACTTGTCCTGACATGACGGCAAAACAAAAGAATGTCGCAGATCTGATCCCACCCTTCCATTTCACACTGATCCTTCGCCCTCCATCCATCTACCTCCGCCTCTGTGTTCACACCAGAGGAGCCATGAGCCGCATGTGAAAACACATCCTCGTCTCAAACCCCTGCAGCCCCGATAGTCAATATTCATAGATCCCTTCAGCAGACATTAACCCGTCATAATTTGCGACGCAACGTTTCTGTTGTAAATTGAACTAAAACAGGGGGTTTATTCCCAGCTGACACGTATTTGTTTTGACAGTGACAAACCGGTTTTAGAATCCCGTTATATCTCAGCAGGCAGCGCTCTATACTGCACAGCCTGCATGGAACAGAGCGGGCGGGATTATTCATCGCAGGGATTCCTCACGCAATTTAAAGCGTTTTGTCTTTGGCCGGAACGGGCTTTTATTCTCGTACTGAAGAGAGTTTGTGTTTGCTAAAGACAAAGAAAAGAAAAAGGGATGGTACTCACAGTAGGTTTTCCTTGTCAACTCCTCCACCACCTCTGGTTTAAGCTTGCTGTTTGATTTACCCATGATCCTCAGCTCTCCTCCACACCTGCAAGTCCACCTGGGCACGCAGCACCTGTCACCACCTCCTCTCCCGTCTGCTCCGCAGCCAAAAAACATACACAAAAGTCAGCTGGTTTAGGTGCAAAGACGCCGATGGAACAGGAGAAGCTTCTTCTTTCTTTTTTTGTTTTTTTGGAAGCCTTCAAGCTAAACGAGTCAAGCGTCGCGTGTAGCCCGCTCGAGCTGCCGTCATGATCCGCTCAGTCATCAGGGGGGGAGGATGGGGGTGGGGGGGCGGTGAAGAAGGGTCGGGCAGGTTGTGGGAGTCTGAGTGCCTGTGTGTGCGTTCGGTCCGTGGGCGCAGTGGCGTTTGGACGCGTTGCTACCTTCGTCCTTGGATACGAGAGTCACTCGGCGGGGCTGGGTAGAGCGCTTCCCCCCCCCCCCCCCCCCGCCCCCTCCCTCACAGCCAGGCTGTGTTCTTCTCAGTCTTCCCACCGCTATCTCTACTGCTCAGAGTAAGTTACTGGAGAAAAGAAGCCTCCCTCTTGACAACCAGAGATAAAGAGGTGTGTTAACTGGAATACAATGAACAGAGCCCCCCCTCCCTCCCTCCCCCACACACACCCCCGCTGCAAGTGTCTAATCCCTGGAATGTGTAAAGACATAAGAGTTTAAGGAAAGGTAAACTCTTTCAGTAAGCAAGGTCTCCATGCAGCTCTGCCAGTTTAAAACGTAACCGGTGGTCTTAAAATAAGTGTGCGAGCTCAGAGGCGGAATTTGAAGAGTGACAGTTTTCTTTTCTTCTCTATTCTGACTCATAATCCCCCCCCCCCCCTCTTTCTTCCTTCGGCCTTACAACAGCACGCTGTGGTGATTTCCTCATCTCCGCCACAGCACACAGGAGAATGAGGGATGATAATGGGATTTCTCTGAATCACCGTCTAGGCCCCCCAAAAAAAGGAAAACTATGCACTCGCCACCTTCACTGCAAACATCTGTTCGCTGTGTCCACGGCCAGTGATGTCCTCCTGAGGGATGCCACACTGGTCATCAGCATCTCGTGTTTGCTTTGTTCCGGCTGTTACTTAGACACTATGAAAAACAGACAGACAGACAGACAGACAGACAGCAGTCACAAAGGGGATGACAGGCTTTTTACTGTGTGTTTTGCGTTGTCACCTGGAGCCACAGAAACACCAACGGGGGGGGTAATGGAAGCGCGGGGGGCTCTAATCCCAGTAAACTGTGGGGAATGAGCAACATGTCAACGACTCTGGACTAAGTCCTGGATTCCACTCGAGTCTGGTGAAAACACACACAAACACACACACACACACACGTACGCGGAAGACTAAATGAACACGTAAGAAAGCGCGCTGCGTTCCCATATCATTTTTTGGTCTGACACGAGAGGAGAAAACAAAGAGTCGCAGCAGCAGCAGGTGGGACGTCGCCTGGCGGTGTCATGGCAACACACGGTGTTCGGCGACGGCACAAACACACGCCGTGCGGAGAGCACACGCTGCTCCTCGTGACGGAGAAAAGAAAAGAAAAACACACACGCACACACGCGCGCACAAAACTCTCCTTCGACGTGAAATAAAACGGCGTCCGCGTGGAGCGACTTGGGGGGGGGTTATTACCTGAGCCGCGGAGCCGTTGACCGGCGCCGTCTTCTTGCTGCGCGGAGCTCCGGGGCGGATGGCGGGCCGTGCTGCTTCGACGCGAGTGACGTCGCTCTCTGGCCACGAGCACGATCCGCTCTGTGCGGGAGAGACGCGTCTGACGGCGACACCGCGCCGGTGGTCACACAAGGGACTCTTTGTGTGCTTTGAGAGCCCCTACACGTGTCTTCTGGTAATACAGAGCAGTAATGCATCCTAACTCACTTTCTTTTTTTATTTGTTTTGTAGGCACAGGCTCGTTTTCGGGATCCTCTCTGGGTATCTGTTGCTCTCTGGGCAACATTGATGTGTTATTAGGAAGTTATTGGATCTTTTGATGGGAGTTTTCACGTTTTTATTTATATTTTTTTGCAAGGCTTGGTTATTCTACACTGCAAATCACCCCCGTATGTGTCTATAGGTGTCTGAACCAGCTATTGTCCGATTTAACAAATTGGCCTGGATTATGAGGAATGTGACAGGTTCTGTATGGATATAAATGGCCTAATGTCTAGTGCCCCTTCTCTGGAGATTAGTCAACTAATTGGGCTTTTTAGCCTTTGATGATTCATTTTCTGATGGTTTTTTTCCGATCCGGATGACTCATTTCAAAGAAACCTAGAAACACATTTCCTGTACACGTCATATTTAAAGTGGTGTGTGGTTCTTAGTGAAGAAACTGTAGGATATTAGAAATAAACTGACGACCCGGTTCATAAATGAATAAAATACATTGAGGGAATACCAGAATACAGCCACGATTCTGGAGCTATGTAATCAAAAAAGTAATGAGAATATTGTAAAACCACTGTGATGTTGAAACCGTAATCAATAGAATAATACCGATGTACAGCTATGATTGTATTTGATGTAATGTAATCAACTGGAATGCATGCATGTAATACTTGATAGCCCCACAATTTATATGATATATTGAGAGACATTCAAAATTCAAGTTACATTAACTTTCACACCTTTACGGATCGGTATAAATACCTGTAGGCAACCATTGTTGTGGAGTTCGCTGGTGGAGGCAGCAGACAGGCACTATGGGGGGTCAAAGGGCCCTGTGGCTTGTTGGATTGCAGAGACCAGCGGCTCCTCAGCTGAGATGTTCTTTTCCCCACAACACCCTTTCTTTTATTAAATACCTTTGATTTTAACTTTTCGATCAGCGATGTCCTTTGTCCGTCCGGCGTTTCTTCATTTTGAACACAACAAAACCTGCAGAGATCTGTCGATGGAATCCACTGTGATTCAATCACAAGTGATTAGCTCAATGAGTCAGATGAGTGTTAGTAGGTGGAGGACAGTCATTATTAATGTCAAAACTAAACATAGTTCATTGTTATCCTCATAGGGCAGAAGGTACAGTGACTGTTGTCTTTACATATTTTCTGTCTTTTTTATTAGAAGCAGGGATCATTTGTCAATGTAGCATTGGGGGACTCTTGCAAGAGATGAGATATTTGAAAGAAAAAGGTTCAACTAACGCAGCAGAAGCCAAGATGTCCTGAACTGTAGTATTTAGTAATAGCCAAGCTGCAAGAACGCTACAATTCCCACAATTCAACACAATTATCTTCAGTTAGATCCTGACTGTGTTCAAAATTCCAAGCACATACTGCATTCTGCATAGTAAATCAATAATGAATTAGCCATAAGGCTGTTCACACAGAAGCACACACAAGCAATACGTCTCCATTACATCACATTACTTTATCCTCACAACGAGCTGCCGTTCAATAAAAGATGTTTATCACAATAGTACATTTAAATGGCCACTTCTGGTATTAATGTGAGGCAGATTTAAAGTATTCAACATTTTTGTCTTGAATTCTACTAATGTGTCTCACTCTCAAAATGCTTGCCAATAGAGTACATCTGGTAATTTGGGGTACAAATTGCAACTTAAAACATTTGTAAATGTTAAGTTCTTTGGAATGTGAAGTTTCCTTAAGATAACCCTGATGACATCATTCACTCATCAGGGTCATTTTCTCAGACCTTAAAATGTTCCCATCAGAGAGTAAACGGACATTCTTCATCCCTCTTTGTAGGCGAAGTTTTACTTTGCAGCACAATTAAAACGATGTCTAGGAATGAAGAGTGTTAGGTAATTTAAGGTTTATGCTAAATGATTTTGGCGGCCATTAAACCAATCAGGTATCTTGCAAGTCTTGCATAGCAGGAAAATTCATTCCGTGTTTATCTAAACTGAACCTGCTACAATTACTGAATGCAGAGCACAAGGCCAGATGATAAGCATCGCAGCATGGGAATGATGAAACATTATTTTAGATATACTGCATCTGCTAAAGGAAAAGGAAAGTAATTTAGATTAGTTTGATGTAGAAGCTGGATGTTCTCCAGCCTTCACAGCTATTCATTACTCATTAGGCTTCATGAATAACGTGTGGACAAGCCATTTTCCCTCGAGTCTCATTGGTTGCTCGTGCTTGTAACTCATGTTAGTTGTGCTCCAGTCCAAACTTGCGCAGTATCTAAAACGTGTTTTCTTTCATTCAAATGCGTATTACAAAAACCATATCCCCCTTTAACAATATAGATGAATTACTTGAAGATACTTGGGCATGGTCATTAAACCATTATCACCAAAGTCTGCAGCATCTTGCATCGCCGTTATATGCTAAAATGTGGTGAAGCAGCTGAGGGACTACTTGGAGAAAAACACTCTGGAAAAGATCTGTGTATTTCATTGTACCGCTGAGTTTTAGCACCTCCAGTATTGCGTGACAGGCTGGAAAGTCAACTCCTCAGGGCTAACGATATACCATCAACGCCACATTCGTCTTCATTAGAGGCAAGAGCTCAAAGTTAGTGAAGACTCCATAAGGAGGAAGTATTCTGGCGTTTCCTGAACCTCTCATACACAAACAAAGCAAGATAATGAGAGGACCATCCATAAGTTTTAAAAATGGATGTTCTGATCATTTGGTGTTGATGTTTTCTGTGTGGTTAGAACTTTTATTCAACACCTGATCCATCACTGGCAGGTTTATAAATAGTCCCATGCCAAGCAGAAAAGCAGCTTCAATGAGTCAGACATGAAAGGCGAGCTAGTTTTAACCAAGACAATTGACATTTTGCAAGATAAGAAAAATCATTCTGTCACTGTGCTTAGAAAGCAAGATTTCTATGCCAGCTACTGGAATCATCAATTTGAATACTTCTCTTTCAAACCAGAAACATTCTAGCAGGATGCTGTTGCTCTGTACAATACAAACAATGAGAGTTTAAGTGATGGGCTGCCATAAAGAGGCAGGTCAACATTTACAGTTTTTTGCAATTATGAATGATTTACAACAGTGTGAAAGATGGAGGGACGACAAAGAGCCTCAGATGAACATTTGTTTAGCCCATAGTCACAAATGACAAATTTCCCTCTGAGGGTTTTACAGTCCGTACACATGCACCATTCCCCTGTCCCAAAACCCTCAGATCGGCACAGGAAGAGCTCCCCAAAATATGAGTCCTTTCATGTTTAATCCCCAGCCGCTCTACTTTAATGCATCTCAAAATGAAACCCCAAGACAACGGGCTTCACGAAAGGAAGATTGGTCTGCCTGAAAAAAGTTTCATACAACTTGGAATGTTTAAAAGACCATGATATATTTCAACCATATAGAAAGTATCGACGGAAAGGATGCCAAAACGTGGCCCCACCCAACAGAGTAACAGACATTTTCATACACATTTTCTCCAATTAACGGGTAACTTCCTCCTTCCTCGATAAACACAACTAAACAACACTTCCCTGAGGCGCACTGTACCCACTTGAGTATCCCATATGGCTAGATATATATTATTTAGGACCATGAATATACAATCCCTACCCTCCTCTGAACAAGCCTGCTGATGAGGATCAAACAACACTTGCATTCTCGGTCGTGCTCATAAATCCAGCAGGACGTGGAGGTCGTTCTAATGCATTGGACACCCAGCTGTTGGTTCAGACTGACAACAGGCAGATATCTGGCAGATGGGGCTGGAATCCAAGCTTTATGCAGATAAACCATCCCTGCCGAGGAACGAAGGGGATGTAGAGGAGCAGAAGTAGAAACGAGCGGGGGGTCAACTACTCTTTTTCTGGTGAAGCAACGTTGGAATTGTTTTTCTTTAAAGGTGGAAACACGCTGGTTATTCTTGGGCATTTATAAATATAGCCGGGGAAGAATGTTTTCAAGCTGCGTTAGAAGTAAAAAAAGATAACTGCCGCACCCATTTTTACAGTATTTGTCAAAAGCAAATAAAGAAGTCAATTATATCACAATGATATATTTAAATAACTTCACTTCCGACAAGTTATTAACATAAATCTCCACAAATGTTATAATCTAGAGTGAACAAGCCATTGTCAGATTACGGAATATAGGAAAATGGTTTCACCCGTGACCCAGAAGATAAAGCCTGCCAGTTTAAGCTTTATTGTTTTTGTTTTTTTATTGTTACCATCATGAATCTTTAAATGCCTTTTGAATAAAACAAATGAGCTTTAGGTTTTGCATCTGCCACGTACATACAGGATGTTATTTACACTCTTGTGGAGGAGTGCGTGAGCTTCTGCTCCCTCTCAGTTCCTCAAACCGCAGGTGCATGTCTGTCCTCTAGTGGATGACACAGGAAACAACACACACGCCATAGTTTATGAAACGTGGATTGATTCAGTTGCGATTGCAGCTGCTAAAAGACCAAATATAAGTAGGGCTTGTATCCAAATGTTGATTTTGATTACTAAATAAAGCAGCCGGCAGCCACCGCTGACGATCTTTCTCTTATCGTCAAAAGGTACCTTTTCATTGTCCGGTTACGAAACTCCAGAATATACACATTAGTCATTTTCAAAAACAACAACTCAACCAATGAGATCGGTCCTCTCGGTCCCAAAGCTGGGGGAGAAGAACTTGACATACGCCACCCACCAACTTTGTCCCCACTGTTTACATAAACTGCTGCTCATAGAGGAAGACCACAGATCAGTCTGCCGTTGAAGCAGGTGGACGCACAGGGAGACGGGAAACATGTTTTTAACGGGCCTGCTCTGCCTGCTGCTACTGCGGCCTGGCCTCGCCGCTCTGACGACTCCTCCATTGGAAGAGGTAGGTGAGGGTGGAGAGCTGAGGGTGAAGCACGGCGGCTGGTGATTGCACTGCTCGGGACTTCTGCAAAGTACATTGAACTCTTCAACTTTAAACTGTTTATCATCCTGTCAAAACTCGCCAGCCGCTGTCACAGCTGGATTTACATGGCATTCGACCCAAAAGACTAAAGCTCTAAAATAGCCTTTCGTTTTTTGGGCAACAATCATCTAAATTTAGTTACACAGGTTTTCAAACTGTAGTTTCAAAAATAACCCTTAAATGTTGTTTTAAAAGAGGCTAAAACAAACGTTTGTGTCCACTTAAAGCATTTTCATCACTCCCCCAGTCAAAGGGACGTAGTTTCATCTCCTGATGCCTCAGGTATGTCTCTCTACGGCCGGATTGTACAACAATTGTGAGACTAATACATCATGCAATGGTTGTGTTCTCTTTGTACTGTGACCACTGGGGGTTTCCCTTCTCCGCGTTCACAGTGAATGGGCGTCTGCGTCGCTGGGCCCTGATGCCCGACATAACACACCTGGAGCTGCTGGTGGTGGTCGGACCCGATGTCCAGCAGTTCCACAAGCAGGACACAGAACGATACGTCCTCACCAACCTCAACATTGTGAGGCTTTCAGTCGATAGCCGTTTCTGTGTATCTGAAATAGAAGTATGAGGGAATGTCGAGGAACCGCAGCGGGGAAGAGAACTGGAATGCTTTACTGAAGTGACTTGTTTTGAACATTTCTTATGTCGAAAGGGAAAGAAAAATCGCTATTAAATCAAAGAATGTATTTAACCAACAAAAGGAAGTGGTTGACCAGAGGTCTTCTGTCCAAACCAACATTATTTTCATTTTCTATCAAAGCGATTTCTATTAAAAGAAGAAGAAAACGTCATCAGAGCAGACCAGAATTGAACAATGGGTATCGTTTTCATCTGACTTATTTTCCAACCTCCACCCAGGCCTCAGAGCTTTTGAGGGACATGGCCCTGGGGGCCAATATGAGGGTGCACCTGGTCCGCATGATCATCCTGTCGGAGCCAGAGGTAACCGGCTGGCCCTTATAAGTTCAATGAATCAAGTTCATAAGTGGATCCATTTTGGATTAGTAGCTACATATAACTACAACACGTGTGACATCAAGCGTGACCAATGACCAAATGGCCTTAAATTCAGATTCTTTATGTTTTATCATCACCATCTTTCTTTTGTTTTTGTGGTCACGCTTCCAGCCAGAGATCCAAATGTCCCCCAACATCACCTCCTCTCTCAGAAGTGTGTGCGACTGGGGCCGAAGGATAAACCCCTCCAACGACACAGACCCACTACACGCCGATCTGCTGTTGTACATTACACGGTGTGTGTTCCCTTTAGCTGGCGGCATTGCAAATGTGTTCTCTTGATATTTTATGTAATATTTGTGTGTTGTCTCCTGTCACTAATAGGTATGACCTGTTGTTGCCTGATGGGAATAACCAGGTCAGGGGTGTAGCGCAGCTGGGTGGGGCTTGCTCCAGTGAATGGAGCTGTGTGATCACGGAGGACACAGGCTTTGACCTGGGCATCACCATCACTCATGAGATTGGCCACAGGTGAAGCAGAGTCACACACATGACCATCAGGGAATCTGAAACATGTAAAAATATGTGGTTACATCACAGCTAATAAAGCAAATAACACTAGACATGGGATTTCTAAGATGTTTCATAGAGAGATGTATGTTTTCAATCAGAAAAACATACTGCAATGTATCAATTGAGTTTCCCCTTAGAGGCAATTTCTATTTCCTTTTATTTTATATAGGTGTGTTTTTAATCAGCAAATTACAGAGCCGCAAAAAAATGTCACTGCATCGTGCAATTGAATCCAGCTTTGTTGAAAGTATGTAGGATCGCTTCGAGTCCTCCACCGTAAGGTCAGTAACAGTACTGGAACCTGATTCATTTTCACCCAGTTTTGGAATCAACCATGACGGTGTAGGAAACACCTGCAGCAAGAGTGGCTTCATGATGGCCTCTGATGGCGGCTACAACAGTGTGGATCTGACCTGGTCTCCCTGCAGCAGACAGCAGCTGCTCACATTCTTCACGTGAGTCAACCAGTTATAAGTCATGAGGTTGTTTTAACTGTTTGCATCGTCACCACTTTTGTAAAGTTTATATTTGCTTCTGATGTTAAATGATTAAAACCTGTCCATTTTAAGCATAGTAACTCTCTGTATCTGCAATAGTTAGGACATGATAATGAGATGTCACTCCTGTTGCCAGTGAAGGTAAAGCTGAGTGTGTAAAGGACCTGCCTGCACTGGGCGGCTCCCTACAACACTGGAAGCCGGGTCTATACTACGGAGTCGATGACCAATGCCGTATAGCTTTTGGTAGCACTGCGAGAGCCTGCTCTTTCACCAACCCTGACCTGGTCAGTCACCCGTACTACCGCTTTGATACCAGAAGGTGGCACTTTGCATCCAAAAATACAGACCATCACCCAATATTTATTCCTCCTTTCTTTTCCATCAGCCGGCTTGTCGAGTGCTGTCCTGTCACATTAACCCTGATGATAACAGCTCCTGCAAACGCCTCCTCATCCCACTGCTGGATGGGACAGAGTGTGCACCTGACCAGGTACTGCTCTGTTACTGGTGAGCCGTTTTGGTGCAGCCATTGAACCACTGCGTCGACCATCCGAGCCTGTTTGCTCATGGGGTGCGTTCCTGTGTTCCAGTGGTGTCTGAAGGGGCGTTGCGTTTCCTCAGATGAGCTCGGCTCCTCTGTGGTGGTGCACGGCTCCTGGTCCAACTGGTCTGAGTTCTCCCCTTGCTCACGGACGTGTGGCGGGGGGGTCACTCAGCGCACGCGTAAATGCAACAACCCAAGGTGACAAGCGTCGGCCGCAGTCAGAGCTGAATATCTCTGAGTGTTATATTGACGTTCAACAGCTGAAAGATGACTGATTTTTTTTCAGACCTGCTTTTGGAGGGAATGATTGTGAGGGATCCGATATTGAGGCTGAACTTTGTCACCAGCAAGTACGTTCTGACTATTGACATTGGGCCTCCTTACAGGAGGTCAATACCATTTACTCGGTGGATCACTGTCCCCTGAATCGTCCCACTGTTTATTGTTCACTTGGAGAATTAGAGACAAAGAAGTCATTGAGCATGGGTCAGATTCAGCCACAAAGGCCTCTACAGTCTATAAAAAAAAAAAATACTTTTCTCTATTGCAGCCATGTGAGAACACCCAGCTGGATTTTGTAGCAGAGCAGTGTTCTCAAACGGACCTCCACCCGCTCTACCTGCTGCCAAACACTGCCTCCTTCTACACCTGGATCCCTGCGATAGGCTTTGTACATGGTGGGCCTGAATAGATTTTGTCCCAGACGTAACAAAGCAAAGTATTGCTGTCTAAGATGTGTTTTTCTGTGAACTCCCCTCGTCCATCGCCAGGGGATGACCAGTGCAGGTATTTGTGCCAGTCAAAAGGAGAAAACTTCATGGTGAGCCGTGGCTCCCAGTTTGTTGATGGTACTCGCTGTGAGTCCGACAGGCCGCCTCTTTTTGGCTCCACGGCTGCTTGTCTGAGAGGGAAATGCCAGGTAAAGAAGACTTAATACACAACAAAGCAGATGTTATTTGACTCATTCAGACTTCATTTTCACAGTCAGTCAAACAGCTTTTTAAATGCACTGCTCGTCTCTGACCAGCTGTTTGGCTGCGATGGCACGCTGCACTCTGGGAAAGTGAGGGATGTGTGCGGGGTGTGTGGTGGAGATGCGTCATCCTGCAGTTTGACCTCCGACTCCTACGGTGGCGGTCAGGCCAGAGGTAGCAAACAACAATGGATAGCTATTATGAACCCATTCACTGAGAGAAAATGAATTGACTAGTATTTTGGTAATGAATTACTCACTTAGGTTACATTTTTGTCATTGATCTCTGTTTCAGAGTACACCACTTTCCTGTCTCTGCCGGTGAATGCCACGCAGGTTCATGTTGTCAACAGGGCACCTCTCTTCACTCACATGGGTGAGCGTCATCACTCTACAAGAGATTTTTACGTCAGGATTAACTGGTACTAAAAGCTGGAGTTGTTTTTGGCATTTCTGTCCCCAGCTGTAACAGTTGGGGATCGGTACGTTGTGTCTGGGATGGGCGAGATGGCACTAACAACGACCCATCCCTCCCCATTGGATGATAACCGCCTTGAGTACTCCCTCCACCTGACCCCTGACCTTTTACCAGCCATGGAGACGCTTTTTCTGCCGGGACCGCTGGCAGAGGAGATAAACGTACAGGTCAGGAGAGGAAAACATTCAATTTGAGATGATTTGATTCATTAAAAAAAAGCATTTGAAAACTCAAAAACTTTACTTTCCAATGTTATATTTTACAAAAAAACCCTAAGAAATAATACTTACTACTCATTGCACAAATAAACAACCTGTTCAATGTCTGAGGTTTTCTTTTTAAAGGTCTATCGCAAATATGGAAAAGAATATGGAGAGAAAACGAATCCAAATATTAGCTACCACTTCTATGTTCCGCTCAGTAACAGCAACTTGACAGAAAACTCACCCAAAGGAAAATGGTCTGTCTTCACAACACCCTGCTCTGTCTCCTGTGGACCAGGTAACGAACAGCTAATCACGAGTCACATTGAAAAGCACCTAAAGAAAACCTAGCAGTATAATGCATTCCATGAATAACGCAATTATAAATTCCCAGGCTGATTGCACACTATAGTCGTCGCTCTCTTGTTTTAGGTTCCAATGGGTTTTACAAATGAGACATTTGAATGATAATATGCAGCAAAGTTGACCTTTTTGAGCAAGCTTCATGCCACACTTAGCGTGTCTGTCTATTATAAGGACAGGCAGTGTCTAATATGCTGAATTCTTTTTTCATTGTTCTGATCGTACATTTTCTCAGGAGCAAATACCATTAAAATGTCAACTGAGCTGATTAACAAAAGTGTCACATACACTACAGCAAATGCATTAGTGTGAAACACTTTTAAGTCATTAAATTCCTGCCTTTCTACACAACCTCACTTTCTTAACAGGTGTGCAGAAGCAGGTTTATGTCTGTGTAGATGAAGAGAACAACAAGCATTTGGACGAACACAATTGTGAAACGCCTCCTCCACCCAAACGGCTCCCCACAACCTGTCAGCTGTCCCGCTGTCCCCCCAGGTGTGGTTCGCACTCAACACTATTTTATTTCCTTTGCTGCTCAGCAATAAAACGGTTAGACATGAATAATTGACTGCTTTGCAGCTGGGACACGGGGGCGTTTGGGCCTTGTAGCGCTTCCTGCGGTGGAGGAGAGCGAGTGCGTCCTGTACGATGTGTTCAAAGACATGGAGCCGCTGTGATGAAGGTCTCAGATACTGAATGCCCGCCTGATATGGCTCCGGATGCTGGTGAAAAATGCAACCTGCAACGCTGTCCTGCTAGGTATCAACGCTACACTGTACTGTTGATCATCACTGGTAAAAAGGTGTTTTTAAAAAAGGAGATATACAATTGTGTGTGTTTGCAGATGGCGAGTGTCAGAGCCTGGGAAGTGTGTGGCAGTGTGCGGCCCAGGAGAAGCAAAACGCAATGTGTCATGTGTCCGGCCAGAAGATGGCCGAGATGTTGAAGTGGATGAAATGTTTTGTTCCCTGGAGATCAAACCGACTGATTATGTGTCCTGTGTGGTGGATGTTTGTCCCATTGGATGGCAATTTAAGGGAGAGGTAAAGTAGAAAACGATTCAAATCTCTTTATCTTATTTCTAAAGGTGAAGGGTGTCTAAACATTGTCTTCCTTTACCAGGAACAACAGGTGCTCAAGTCTGCTGCGTCCCCGCGCTCTAAACAGGCTCCTGTGTACGTCTGGAGTCCTGTTATCAGCCAGTGCTCAAAGGCGTGTGGCAATGGTGAGTTAAAACATGGACTCACCTTCACTCAGAAACAACCTCATCAGATAAGGTCAACAGCCTGATGCTTGTGTAGGAACCCTTCAGGTGTGGTTCTCCTGTTTGGACCACCAGACCAGACTCAGGGTGACGGACATCCTCTGTGATACTTCAACCAGACCTCTTCCTCAGACTGAGACCTGCAACACAACTCCCTGCCCCCCCACGTAAAGCACCGGACATTCACGTGCAGTATTTTGATCATGAAGTGAATTTCATATTTGTCTTTAATATCTAGTCTGCTGCGTATCCATTTGAGAACAAGAAGAAGTTGATGTCGTTTAAAAACAGAGGCAGCAGAAAAAATATCTTTTGCAACAACCAGGTGGCGCTCTAAGCAAGGAGTCTGCAGCGTAACATGTGGAGGAGGGGTGGCCAACAGGGTGCTGTACTGTGCTATGGAAACAGACGGAGAGGAGGAGGTGGTGGTGGAGGATTCAGGGTGCAATGAGTTTCCCAGACCCACACCAGTGGTTGCATGTAACAACCACAGCTGCCCAGCAAGGTGATTCGCACTCAAACACACACGTCTGATGTGCATTTTTTTGTTTTGTTGCAAAAGGCAAAAGTATTTAAATACCATCGTTCATCCAGGTGGACGGTAGTCAGCTCGTCGGCCTGCTCAGCGTCCTGTGATCTGGGTGTAGCTCAGAGGACTGTGTCTTGTGTGCAATTTTTTCATGGCAAGGAGAGTGTGGTGCCGGAGGAGAGCTGCCATGCAGCAGTGAAGCCGGCCAACGCAGGGCCCTGCCTGGTGCAGGTCTGCACCTTCAGATGGGACGTGAAACCATGGAGCCAGGTAACGGATTGTGAAGATTAAACCCCAGAGGAAACAATTCAAATCAGTTGATCAATCATCAAGTCAGTTGAAAGAAAATGGATGGACAACTTTGGTGATAATTTATTAATCTAAATCATGTTTCAAACAGAAATCCCAACTGGTTTTATATACACATTTTATACCGAATACAATGTATCTTTAACCATGACTCATTAATCAAAAAAATAAATGTCCCTTTTTAAAGGACCAGGTCAGACTTTTCAAACTAGTCTGCACCTCAACTGAACACAACCACGCAATGATATTGCAAAAACACAAAATTATTTTCACATTGCATGGAAATAACTCATAATAACAAAATCATTTTCTCTCTGGATTTGTCAAAAAAACATCAACATCCACATCTTACTGCTCCTATTGTTCGCATTAATGTTCATTGGTAATTGTGATATCTTTCTAATCCAGTGTTCAGTACCGTGTGGATACGGGATCCAGTCCAGAGCCGTGTCCTGCGTGGGCCCCTCTAAGCCGGGGCCCCTCAGCCCTCTGTTTTGTATGCACATGCCTAAACCCATAACCATCCAGGGATGCTATTTGGGCGGGTGCCTTCTGTCCACCTCAGACGCCCCGCAAGTTACATCACAGCACCCCTCGGATCGTCTTTCTCCAACGGATCCGGTCCTCGCTCCACAGGCCACGACTACAACCGTCCCCACACCTAAACCCAGTCAGTGCGCATAAACAAGCCATTCTCAAGGCAGCACTGCAGGATTCTCATTGTTGTTTGAATCTGACCAGGTGCATGTGGTCAGCTGCTCCTGGAGGAATCGGGCACGGTGCATTTGAAAGACGTGATCGGCCGCTGCACAGTATCCATAGGTCGACCCCTCGATGAGGTCATTCACATCAGAGTGGAATCTGGCTCTTTGAACTGCATGAAAAGTATGTTTTATCTGATAGGAAAGGATGATATTGCCAATTGTGTGACTATTGCTCTCAAATGAATGCATGTCTCTTTGTTGAAATGTGTTCCTGCAGAGGAGTTCGTTGTATTTTTTGACCGACTGGCGTTTGTGAGGAAGTGCGAGCAGGTAGTGGGGAGTGAACTGACAACCAGAACCAACGTCCTGCTGGTGCGGCAAAAACTGCTCACCCCTGGAAACGGGGTGGTGTTAACCTACAACTCACAGAAAAACCCCAAGAAGAACCACCATCAGGGTAGGAGCCCATGTGTGTTCAGCACGAAGACGGGAGGCTTTTTGTCAGGCCGCCAGTTAATTCAGCTTTTTGTAATTAATGGAAATTGCATTGCATTGCATTCGACTTCACAGTGTTCATAATGCTTTGTTGAAATGAAATGCACTGTTCCTCTGCTCCACAGATTGTGACATTCAGTTGTTCTCTCCAAATGGTGTCTTTGAGAATCCAACAACGCCCAACACTAACCACACCTGCCGAGTGCTCATCAACGCCCCCCCGTCAGTCAAGATCAGAATCCAAGCTCTACACATCGGCTCAGTATCCAACGCCACCATCGCCCAGGCAACATACATCATGGTGCGGACATGTTTTGTTTGCTATTGTTTCACAATTGTTTGTTTTTATGTTATGGTATAATAATAAATGCAATATTGTTCTTTGTGTCGCTCAGATCCGGGACATGAATGTCTTAACGACCAATGTGTTTAAGGGCCGACAGCTGTTCCAGTGGCAGTCCTCTGGAAACATGGCTGAGATTGAATTTCACGGAGGTCACCTGCATTCGAAGGGGAGCTTCAGAGCCAAATATTCCTTTATTCTTATTTGATACTCAATATTTTACATTGAGTTTGGAAATTTACATTCAACGTGTCTTTAGTCTACAATACTCACATTTCTTTAACAAACATTGACATATACTTTGTTAATGGACAGACATTCTCTTCTTTGGTTATGGGGTGATTATTTGAACCAAAATAAATAATAAATAACCCAACAAACCAAATCTCTCAAAATATTTAAGTCAAGCAAGGGCAGTATTATTTTGAATACTGCATCAGGGGCATCTAGAGTATTAATATATTATAACAGTATAATAAAGAAATTATGTAATTTTAAAATTTGATAAAACACACAACGTATCAAAATATAGAATTTCCAAAAAACAATTGAATCTCATCCCAAAAACGGTCACATATTGCACTTCCCCCAACCCTTTGATAACAAATCCCCCCCCCCCTCGGCTCCAGCACACTCGGTGTGTCCGCGACCGGTTCCCCTGCAGCTCCCGCGCAGCCCACCAGGACCAAAAGCACTATGCCGAGCTCCGGTGTGGCGTCACTGCTTCACCATGGCTGTGTCTTCCAGGAGAGCTCTCATGTCCAACAGAGCGTCCTCCACAGCCCGGGAGAACTTGGCCGCGTTCGTCTCCTCGCAGCTGTTGAAGGCCGTGATGGCTATGTTGATGTGCTCATCCATGGGATTGTAACACACTCCGTAGCCATCTGGCACCATCGGACCGAAGGACATCACACAGTCTGTCTTGGAGCCGACCTGGACTCGGAGACGGGAGAGATGATGTAAACAAACACACAACGACAAACAATGGTAATAATAGACTGTTGGTTTTGTGAGGCACAGGTGTACCTGGCTGGTGGACAGATTATAATGCTGAGCCACAGCAAAGGAGGTGTCCATGAATATCTCGGGCATGGAGGTCAGCTCGACAATGCTCAGCATCTTCAGTCCGAGGAGGTGTCTGTCTATCGCTTGTCCATGAATTGCCTGAAATAGAGTTAAATGTGTGCCGCTGTCATTCATCAGATGTTGTGTCAATAAAGTACAATTTTGCTGGTGAACTCAAACCCTCACATTGTACGTGTTCTCCTTGTGTGTCTGAACAGCCGCCTGCAGGAGCGCCAGCCTCTCTGTGTTCTGTGGACAGAGTTTTCTGTTCAGTCAGACGGCTTTTTGTTGAATGAATTTATTTTGAATTCTGGTGGTTCTACAGTACCTGTTTAGCTGGGTCTTGCATTGCCTGGACAAATTTAAACGAGCCGGTAGTAGTTGCACGGATTGAATCTGTTCGCCCGTATTTAAACATTCGTAACGATGCGCTCTCGTAGGTAGAGCAGCAAATATTATACATCCTGGGATTCAAAAACATGACACACAATGTATGCAATACAGTTAAAAGGGACATATAGTGTTTGTTTTCTGGTCAATTCCTGTATGTTGGGTTTCTAGAACATGTTTACAACCTTAAATTGTCCTCACAGACTAGCGAGAAAAATATTTTTCTTCAGTTATTTCTAAAGCAAAGGGTGGAGAAACTCATTAAGAGTGTTATTCTGTGTTTTCTAATGAGAATAAGATGGGAAGGAAAATCTGAATGGCTTATGGAAATCACATGTTTTTTCTGAACTAGCCCACAAACAACGGGCTGTTTTATATTGTATTAAAACAACCCAGTTATTATATTAATAAAAACCCAGTATCTATTTCACGGATATAAGCGTGAGCACAAGGCCTGAAGTGCATTTTTCACGCTACGTCCCTTTAATGTCCATGTCTGGCATCATTTAAAAAAGGATTCAGCAACTATGAAAAAGGACTTACCTGAAGTAGGCCAGTTGAAGAGCCATTTGCACAAAGCCGTCTGGACTAAGGTTATGTTGTTGTGGCAATTTTCTTCCGAAATCAGAAAACATAAGCACCTTCACATCTAAGTCATGAACCATTCTGATGAAACAAGGAAAAGGAGTGAGTTAATCAAAATGGCATGACATCAACGATGAGACAATAACAAGCAATCATAACTTTGTTTACATACATGTTCATATTTTGTTTGGCTCTCTCAATGTCTCTCTTGACCTCAGGTGTGATGTTAAAACGCAGTTTCATAGGCATGGGCAGGGGGACCATAGGAGTGCGAACTATTTCAGTTCTCGACCTGTTGCGAATACATGAAACATTTAGTCTTTTTTGAGTAAGAAGTAACGCTGATCTAGGAATTGAACAAAACTTACATGCACCCAACCACAAAATCGATGAGAAACACAATGGGTGGACCCTCAGCAGGCGCATGTTCATACACTAGTCCACTCGTGCCGTCTTCACCAACAATGAACTGAAGAGGATCGACAAGCACAGATGAGATCCTCCACCGTCACCACGCTGCGGTTGATGGTTTTCTATGTGAAGCGATTCGTCTCACACTAACCTGCAACGTCTTGTCGAACCAGCGGTTGCCGCTGTTCCAGCGAGCTCCTCCTCCATGCAGCATCTGTGCCGCCACGCGGCTCCAATACAGCTCGTCTGACGTGCGCGGCATCGGGGCGTCCAGACAAACTGTGAAGATGCTTTTCTGGATGGCGCGGACTGACTCCTTATTCGTCTTGTCTGAGGAGGAATGATGAACATTTTTCCACAACGTGTTTTTTTTTTTTTTTCAAATGTTCCATGACATGATTTCTTCTAAAAAAAAAATAATGACCCTATTGATACGCCTAGTTTTGGCACAGGATCTGGAAGTTTTTGGGTAGTGCTCTGCTTACCCTTTATCAAATTATTGTAGGCTTTTCCCCAGGTGTTGCGGTGCTGGGATGTGAGGATGCCAATAGGCTCCTTGTTGGTCTGCAAGGAGGAATTCCAGATCTTCTCCAACTGCATGTAAATCTGGTCTACGGTCAGCGGGGTGCCATCGCTGTGGTACACATCCAAGACAAAGAACTGTGGGAGGGGGCGGGGGGGGGGACCAGGTTACGTTAATTCAGACAAAGATCAGTTATACTGACATTACAAAAGGATAAGAACAACAGCATCATCTACAATACCTGGAAGTTGTGGACCACAGTGATATGAGTGACGGGTGTTGTCCCCATGGTGTGATTAACCACAGTGTCTCTCTTTGGACCAGGGACACGACAGGACGACAGGATCTGGTAATACTGGTCCATACACAGCGGCTTCCCACTCAGGTACTCTATAGGCAGGGTATCACTAGGACACAGCACCTCTTATTACACCAACTGAACGTTGTAGTGATGAGGAGCAGTCTGATATTTACGTTACTTTCAGGCAAACTCACGTGTCAATCATTTTTTTAAACTCCAAAACTCCTGCAATCAGCTTGGCAGCAAACCTGCACAGAAGACGTCGTTGTGTCAACGACGAACATGTGGAGAGTCTGAACATCAATTCTGAACAGTTCATAGCTCTGAATGGAAAGTAAACGTCATTCCATTTCACCTCGTTGTGCCACTGGCTGACAAGTTGTGAGCCTACAGTACCTGGCTTATCTTAAACTCTGCCATTGGCTTCACGCGAGTATTTCTCTCTGGGCCCACCATGTCCATGTCATATCCCATAGGTCACGGAAGACAAAAACAGCTGACCAATGCTGTGAGTGGCTGTCGGGCTTTTAATAGCCCCGCATGTGGAGGGAAACCTGCACAAAGGTCGGCTTGAAACTCTAGTTTCATGTGGGCTTTTACGGCGCACTCCATCGCAATGTAAATCATTTTCAGAAAAACAACACCACGATTGTGCGAAGCATAAGAACATTTTATTTGTTTCGTTGTAAAAAAAAAAACGCTTTGCTACCGAGGTTTTACAGCGGATCCCGGTTTCTCACCTCATCTGTCCTTGACGATCATGGAAGTGCATGCGAGGCAGGACTACCCCAGGGCTGGTGTAGACCGCCACCGGCATGCGGCAGTCTAGATAGGCCGTCTGCATCCACCATTCTGACAACTGAAAAAGCAGTAGCCAGAAAGTAGGGTACAAAATGCTTCTGTATGGCTCTCCACTGCTTATTTAGGCTGCATACAAACATAAAGATGTCTCATACACTAAGATATATAGTGGATATACTCCCGGATATCTACCCAGTTGTCTGTCTTGCGCGCCCGCCGCTCCAGGCCTTTCTGCAGCCTTTCCCCGACACCACCTGTGAGGAACTCCTTCACCAGCTTCCGGGTGTATTCCAGCTCCTCCTCGCTGACGATAGGCTCCAGAGCAGCCAGGTATCGCTCACATGTCTGCTTCAAGGGTGGCACCGGCAGTTTTGGTAATCCCTCCTGGTGCACCAGGGACCTCTCGGGGATCTGTGTCACGGGTCTGACCAGGCGACTTGGCTTCACCATGCCGGGCCGCAGCTGGAAGACACAGAATCGATTAGCACAAACGCTCCTTTTCCATCTTCCGCCATCGTCACAACTGCTCTTTGTTCGAATATGTCTGCATGACCACTTGGCCATGCTGCAGAGTTGCAGCCCTGATGTGAAGTGTGCAGGGATCATCTCTCAGGCAAGAATTGGACCGAATAGTTGACCGATCGCGCCTCACAAATCCAGGTGTCGACATGTTGTAAAATATTAAGTGCATGCAATGTAAGCCGCAAATAGTAAATGACTCGATGCTTTCAGGTTAGAACAGGATTAAGTGTTGCGAACAACATCTCGTCTAATTTAAAAGGCATATCGTTCGCAGGGAGGTGATTTCAACAGTGAAAGCTGACACCAAAACATCGGCGTGTTAGCAGCCAAACTTCTTCTTTGGACTCAGTGGTGTCAGCTCAGTCTATAAATAGAATATTGACACAGTTGAACCTTTTGAAATGTTAGTAAATCAAAAGAGCAACACTGGTGCTTACCCGTTCTGATATATTAATGATAAGATGATACAATTTATAGAAGGGTGTTTATGTATTAACGCTAAAAAACAGTGGGAATACCAAGGAATTCAGAAAATGAATAATATAAATTAGTGGCGTCGTTTTAATCTGTGCTAAACCTCCGGGCACGTAATACAGAGCTTCCGGTGGACGCTTTCAAAATAAAAACGGTCTGCACAGCGTGTGTTGCAGTGTTGTTGTGTAGAGAAGAACAAGAGAGTGGGGATACTGAGGTTGCCTCTGTCGCAAATAAAACACATGCCGACATACGCCACAGGTCCAGGTAACGTTATGCTATCAGCTAACGTTGAGCTAGGCTAACGTTATGCATATGAGCTAACGTGTCATTGCGCGGCTGCTAACTAACGTGAACTAACTGACGGTCTAAATCGACACTATTCCACCACAAATATACATGAGCCGTGAGTTTTATATCTTATCTTTCATGTGTTATTTTGACGTTAGTGCTGTGTTGTTGACAGCGCCCCACCCCTCCTGCCACCCCGTCTCCTGCCGTAACAACAACCGTAATAACGCCTCCGCGTTCACTTGACGCGCACTTTAAAATACACGTTAAAAAAAAGCAGTGGACTCACCGCGGCCTTTACAAAAACACCGAACATCTGCTCAACCGGACGCGTTAAAGTCTTTGGCTGTCCCGGGAATATAGCTGGGAGACCCTCGGGCAGTCATGTCTCAAGGACAAGCCCGTGTATGTGTGTGTCTCTCAGAGACCCGCCCCCCCTCCCCCTCTGCCCCCCTCTGCCCCCCCGAGCAGAGACAACTGAGAGACAACTGCGAACTCTCCACTAAAAACACCGCGCTTCCTTCTGCAGGTGGAGTTGGGTGACATGCGGGCCTGCCGGTTTCCAAGTAGTGGACTCAAAATATCCGAGCTGCCTTCTTTCATAAATGTTTTTATTTCATTAGAAGAAGAAAAACGGCCGAATGGATTCAAGCGTTTCTTAATTATCATCCATATCAATATTCTAGTTATCAATGCCTTGTTTTATAGCTCTCTGATATCCCACAAGACCTGCGAAATGATCGCAATGGAGGAAAAAAAACACCCAAGGTCATTGTAACCCTAAGCCCCGTGCATGTGTGTCTCTATCATAAACCCACTCTTGCACACACGAAATAAGTGCTTGTTGCATCAGGAGTGGAGGTTGTGATTTAAAGGCAATACATCAGTGTTTCTTTTTAAATGATGTTAGTTTTATTGATTAATAAAGGCAGGCCCTGAAATGAATAATACATTTACAGAATGATATTCTGCGTTGAGATGCTGCACGAGGCTGCACAGATCTTTAATGGCCACGTGGTGGAGCTCGTCCAACGTCTTTGCACAGAAACAGCAAGTTAAAGTCATTTCTTTGGGAAAGGAGCTGCGAACCAAAGACGGACTCCAGTTCTCCCAAACGAAACACAGGAAAATAACGTTTAAATGAAAAGGTACAATTAATGTTTACCGTGTGAAGGAAGCATACCAACAGGCACGACAGATGTTACTATTCAAAAGTGATCCAAAATGAACACGTTTGCTCTGTAATATCACATTTCATCAAAATAACAGAGGAGATGGGGAATTACAGTCGTGTCATGGTTTATTTGAAAGCAATAACATGAAACAATACAAAGACAAACAATCATACAAATCAAAATGCTTCAATTGCTCTGGTCCATCCACTGCCGGATAACAGTGTGTGTTTTAAACAAATTGTTTGAGCGGCGAATATTTGCTCAAGGTCCGTTTGCTGCCAACTCACAAACTCGGATAGTCCACCTGAACCCAACACTGAGATCAGGTTGGAGATGTTTGTGCTGTCCAACTGTTCCGAGTCCGAATATAAATCATCCTCCGTCCTCATCCTTTTGCAAGGCAGTGGCCCAAAGTCTGGCAAATAAAACTCTGGATCAACAATATGATAACTTGTGTCCATCTTTCGCTTTTTAGCGTAGCACTGCGCGCCCTGCGGCTGTTTAGGCTGCGCGCAACAGTCTGAGTGGAAGTACCCATTCGTGACAGTAGTCACCACATGCGTGTCCAAGTCCAGGACAGTCTTTTGGTTGGCTTGCAGGTTTGGGATAGGTAACTCCCAGGAGGACTTGTCTGCACAACTCCAACAGGCTTCCGAAACCATGAGGTCCGAGTCGCTCGCCGAAAGCATTGCGCAGGCCGATGCGTCTTGGTGCGCCACTTCTGCAGGCTGGCCGTTGGGCTGGTGCGCTCCGCATTGCCAAGTGTCCGACTCAACCCCAGTAAAGTTGCAGTAGAAGTCATCGGCCAACTCCGTTAAGCTCCCGGTCAATTCGAAATAGTCTTGCCTTTGGCGGACTGTCGCCACATCCTCGTATTGGTGCGTCCTTTGCGTTTGCGACAAGTTTTTGCTCATATAAAACTGCCTGGCGTTTCTCAGTACGTACGTTACCAGTAAGTTCTTGTGGAGCTTGATGCCTCCTCTCTGCGTCCTGGAGCTTTGGATTTTCCTCAAAGAAATGGAGATCAGATTCTGTGCGTCAAATGCACACTCCATCCTCAACAGGGCCAGCCGTTCTTTTTCTCTCGGTCTCTCAAAGAGGTTGTTTCTTCACTGAAGAAATATGCCTTTAGTTGAGATTCCTACTCGATTCGGGTAGACTGTGTCCATAGCGCTCCATGTCTTCCCAGTAAGGGCATGGATTTGCAACTCTCATCTTTCCTTGCCACGCCCTCGGAGCGACATTGTCCAATGGGAGGGAGGCGGTGCTTCTGTTATACGCAAATATCACTACTAGCCTCATTGAGAATGCACGTAGGAGCAGGCATGCTGCATTTCACTAAACGCGTTCTGGGCTTCTCAGTGCAGACGAAAATTTCCACAATTATTGTCCATGTAGATGACTATAGTTGAATACAATTGGAAAGAATAAGAACACATTGGTAACTATGGCAGAATATTATAGAATAGAAAGAAATGGGTAATGAACTAACAAAAAGAACATACGGAGTAATAGAACAAATAGGACCTGAATATACAATAGTAAAGAGTTATAGAGTAGACTGCAATAGAATCCAACATATTACAAACAGAGGAGTCAGACCGAGATGAACAAAGCTGTTCGAAGTGGTAATATAATGTAAGAGGGAAAGCAAAGACGTAGAATAAAGTAGTTTGAACAGAATAACAAAATATAATGAAATACCATTGGGAGTTATACAACAGAAGAACATACTAGCGTATAATGAGATATCATTAAATAATATATATGAAATGATACAGTGCTAGTGGTAATATAATAAGAGTTGGTTAGGGTTGAACATAGAAAACAAATTCGTAGTTTATCTTTGAGACTGGTGGACTAGAATAGAACATAATTAAGAGTAATAGAAAATGACAGGGCACTTCAGTGGAACATTAAAGAGAGTAGTAGAAAAAGGCTATAATTGTGTAGGGAGTAATACAACATAATATTCTAGCAAGTTATAGGATAGAATACAGTAGTGAGTGACAAAATATACAAGATCAGAATAGAGCAAATACAAAATCAGCGGATCATGAGCAATATAATATAAAATAACAATAGTACCATTATAGTAGCCTGTAAAAACATATCAGAGGTAACTATAATCTGGTGAAGAGTAACCATAGATAAAGAAACTTGTCACATTAGAGAGTAATGGAATGGGATTGAATGTAATAAAGAGGGTTATGTACTAGATTAGAAACACAAAATCATAATAGATATGACTGATGTATAACAAAACAGAATGGAGAGGAATCATTATAACAGAGTCGGATATAACAGAACAAAAAAATGACACCAGAGTGGTGAAAGTAGAGAGAGATGTAGAATTGTAATCGCCACATAGCATATATAGTTACAGAATAGAATAGAATCACAGTATGAGTGATATAATAAACAAACTAGAAAGTGTTATTGTATAAATGAATGTAACATACAACAGAATAGATGGTAATATGACAGAAAATGCTACAGAGGAATAGAACATAACCGCAAATAGTATAGAGTACGGGATAAAGAATGGATCTGAGAAGAAAGGAAGTAAAGAATTGAAAAAGCTATAGAGTGGCAGTGTAACACAGTACAATACAAAATAGTTTGATAATAAATATACTACATGTAGTAGAGAGTAATAGAATACAACACTAGATAGTAATATAATATAACAAAGGGAGTAATAGAATATAACATCATGGTATAGGGAGTAAATAATCATATAAAGACTAATAAAAACATGATATATCATATATTAACATCAAACAAAGTAATACAAAATACAGTATGACATTAATGAGTAATATGGGAGAGAATATAATAGAGAGTAATATAGTAGAATAAAACCACGTAAACAAGAAGCTAATGAAATAGAATGCAACATAATAGAGAGTGATGCAAAAAAATAATATACTAAAGAGTAGCCAGTGGAGCAGAATTGAATTTACACCACCAGGGTAATAGAATGGAAGACATTTGAATGAATATTTGAGAGTAACAGAGTGGAATAAAATATAAAGAGAATTGAAGAGAATATGGTAGTTAGTAATTACAAAGGCACTGAGTAAGGGTTAATAACATAGAGATAGAATATTATAGTTAGTTATGACTATAGATTATAATACAATAGAGAGTGAAATAATAGAATACAGTATAAATAATAGCAGATGGGTAGAATATAACATACCGCTTTACAGTTGATTGAATATCAAACTTATCAATAGAGTTTTGAGTTTCGATTTTTGTACAAGCAAATAAGCTTCTAAAAGCCATGAATCAAATAGTTGAGAGGACATAATCTTTAAAATCGTAGCATGCAAGAGCATAAACCACAGAGAATGAAGAAGCCATCGTGAAGGCAAACTAAAAATGTTAGGCTTGAATTGCACACAAAGAAGTGCAATCTAAACAACGAGCCCAAAATAGAGCGGAACAGATAGAGAATAACTGTTAAAAAAACAGTATCCACTTAAACACAATACTATACAATTATGTATCGCCTACTGTGCTATGCTGTACTGTGATGTAGCTGTTTACAAAACACATGTTTGCTTAACGCCAAATGACATTGTACGTTGTGCATATAGGTTAGGTTCACACGGACACACACCCGCACTCATAGAGGGAAGATTATGAATGTGCTGTTTGGACATGACAATGATGTCCTTAGGACTGACTCTGATAATAGAAATATTGTCCCTGCTTTCACATGTGTGGGGTAAAAGCTTTTTGTAGAAAGATTATCTGTCATCCCTGCCCCACATCTGTTTGTGTGTACACACACAGATGGCTGACATCATCCTGAACACCTGGATGTGACTTTGATTTCCTGCCAAATACGTGAATCAGGAGTACAGCCACTATTATGGTTATCATGCTCTGATAATGGTGTAAATTGGGGTCTGACATGTGTGCTCTCCCTGGGATAGTTTAAATGGCAGAGAGCAGATTGACATATTTTATGCTACAGTTTGAGATGATATGGCAGAGCATTGCATGCCCCGGTACGGTTTAGCACTTTGTAGTATAGTAGTCCTGGATAGATTTGTTTACGTTCATTTCAGGTACCTTCAAAGTTGCTGTATGAATGGGTACCTTCAGACCATTAATATAGCAACACACAGCTATGTGAAGACGAAGTGGAGCAATGTCTACCTGAGCAGAGAACGACCTACCTATGTGTGCATGCAAGCTCCTCCTTGCTTTGTTGACACAGGCCGGCAGCTGGTGCTTTTAGTGCACGTTTGTGCACGTGAGCATGCCCCACTGGTTAGGTCACTTTGGCCACCTGTCAGTGAGCTCATACAGAGGTTGCAGCTGATGATAACGTCCTGATCGGAAGTATTGTTCAGGAAAAGTAGAGGGCCCATCTACAGTTCGACCCCAGGGAAACAACGTGAGCGCTGCCGGTTCTTTCGCTGTAGTTTTCCCCGTGAGCGCTGTAGTTTTCCAGGTTAGTGCTGGTGCCATGCTGTGAGCCGTTGAGCGGAAATCTAAATGTTTACAATCTCGGACCTTGCACCTTGAATGGTAATATTGCGAGATATAAAAAAAGAAAGCTAATGTATACTATAACTAGTATATTACAACAAAGTACAACAGCGAGAGAGTAACATTTAGTGCAAAATGTATCAACATCTTGCTCTGCTTTTTTTTTCCAATGAGGAAAAGCACATTTGTAATTATTATAAAAAATGAAATATAAGAAAAGGCTACGGTGGGAACAAGAGACTGAGACTAAAACGAATGCACATGCCTTTGATAGGCTTTCTTATAATGTCCTGCGGTACGTGTGGCATTATGGGGGGTTAACCGGGAAAACCACCACAATGTCAGTGTGACAAAAAGAAAGTAGGAGCCTAAATGTCACACGGAAAATAATAAATACACAACCGTAACGAGCATCCGATTGAGCATCACTGGAAAGGAACCACAACGTACAATTCTCTGAGAGACGGAGGCAAAGGTCAGGCCTAATGTCAAACAGACAAACTTTCAAATTTGAAGACACTGCTGTATTTTTCTGTATTCTGTATTATAACACTTATCACCCAGCTCATTGGATAGGGTAGGCTTGTTAAATATAAAAATCCATTCAGCACTACTGGAAAGAATAGGAGTATTCATTTTATGTTGTGAGCGTGTTATTTTAATGAAAAGAAGTGTTTTATCTGAAATCATTATGCCTTTTGGACCAATTTAATAAACTCAACATATAAAGCATTAACTGAAACGTAGCTTTTGTTCATGAACGGGCAACCCACAAAAGTCTGAGTGATAATAAAATAGAATAATATTAGTATGAGTCTTAATCTATGAAACCAATATGGGCATGGTAACTCTATGAAGTCCTAAATGAAGTAATGCCCTTTATGTGTTTTGTTTAGTACATTTCTACAGTCTCACTGCTGGGGGACAAGCACAAGTTGATGTTAACTGAAGATTAAACATATATTATTATTTATTTATTTTCTCCCCGTACCCCTCGCTGCATTCCAATCACAAACTAAGACTAAGACTAATGTGTAATTATGAACATTGTGTATGTATTATGTGTATTATGTATATTTCCACCAAAAACTGGGACCTAGACCAGCATTTGTCTACATCAGAATGACATTGTACCGTTGTTTCTATTTTTGAACATGTTTCATTTTAAAAGAGAAGAGATGTTCTTTTAACCACAGATACAACTAATAATGCATTAACTGGTATCATATTGAATAATGTTTAAGCGTAAGTAAGTCTTTGTTAGGACAATGATCTTTACCAGTATGGCCTCTAAAGATTTCTCTCTGTCTCCTATTAAAGGAAAAGAGTTAAAGAGTTTTGTAAAAACAGTCAAAATAAAACTGAGGCTTTTAAATGAACATCTGATAAACTATTGTTATTAGCTAAAACAAAAAATGATGTATGATAAATGATACCAATTTAATACCTCCCAACCTAATATGCCTAATGTGCCTAATATTCTCATATCAAAATAAGTGGGCTGTGCTTTTTCATTAGTATTCAACCGAATTTTAGGAGTTACACCCTTTAAAAAAAGATTTGAAGTGTTACGAGAAACTGAGCCCCGCCCATAACCAACTCTTTCTTAAGTCCAAAAAATGCCAAGAGTTCTATAAATTGACCTTTATTTTGTCAATAAATCTCTTGTTTTCGAGTTGCTTGATGAGTCTAAACAGAAAAG